ATTCTAAGCATTTTACGTGAATTAGCTGATTTAGTTCCCATAACAACTCTGTAAGGTAGGTACTCTTATTACCCCCATTTTCCAGAAAAGGAAACCAGGGTGGAGAGAGCTGAAGTCTAAGGTCACTGCCCAGGCAGTCTGGCTGCAGAATCTGTGCTCTTAACCACAGACTGGACTGCTTTTTTTTTTTTTTTTAATCTGTTTCCCCAATTAAACAGTCAACTCCCAGAGCAGTGTCTTATTCATTTCTGGCTCCCCTTCAGCTCTCAATACATGGCCCGTCACGAAGGAGGCCTCAATAACTACTTGTTGAATTGAACCACCCACAAACTTAGGAAACACGCACATGAGGGGCCCCTGGGTGGCTCAGTCGGTTAAGCGTCTGACTCTTGGTTTCGGCTCAGGTCAAGATCTCGCTTCTGTGAGCTAGAGCCCTGCCGAGGGCTCTGTGCTGGCAGTGCGAGCCTGGCTGGGGATTCTCTCTCTCCCTCTCTCTCTCTCTCTCTCTCTCTCTCTGCTCCTCCTCTGCTCTGCTCACGCTGTCTCTGTCTCTCTCAAAAAGAAATAAATAAACTACGGGGCGCCTGGGTGGCGCAGTCGGTTAAGCGTCCGACTTCAGCCAGGTCACGATCTCGCGGTCCACGAGTTCGAGCCCCGCGTCGGGCTCTGGCCTGATGGCTCAGAGCCTGGAGCCTGCTTCGGATTCTGTGTCTCCCTCTCTCTCTGCCCCTCCCCCGTTCATGCTCTGTCTCTCTCTGTCCCAAAAATAAATAAACGTTGAAAAAAAAAATTAAAAAAAAAAAAAAAAGAAAGAAAGAAACTAAAAAAAACAAAAACAAAAAAACAAAAAACAGATATCCTAACAGGGAAGTTCTCAATCAATGGGTAAGCCCAGACCCAGGAAGGCAGCGGGGGATTCCAAAGGACCCACAGATCCATATGCACACCAAGTACTGAAGGCAGGTTGATATGTCTTGCATATAAAGCTAAAAAAATTTTTCTAAGGTCTATTTGATTAACCACAATGGCAAACATAACATCAAAGTCATCTAAAAGCTTTCCTGAATTCATAGTAGCTTTGAGCCATCTATTCTCACAGCAAACGGATACAAAAATAACTACTATTTGGAAAGGGTACTGCGAATGACTGACCTTTAAAAATGCCCACGATCTTGGGGGGCCTGGGTGGCTCGGTCAGTTAAGCATCAGACTCTTGGTTTCGGCCCAGGTTATGATCTCACGGTTCGTGGGTTCGAGCCCCACATCAGGCTCTGCACTGACAGCACAGACCCTACTGGGGATTCTGTTTCTCCTCTCTCTCTGCCCCTCCCACACTCATTCATGGTCTGTCTCTCTCTCTCTCTCTCTCTCTCTCTCTCTCTCTCAAAATAAACTTTTTTTAAAAACGCCTACAATCTCAAAAAAGTTGAGAATCACTCAAAGCAGATAATGATGAAATGACTGGAGGTCACCTGGGTGGCTCAGTCGATTAAGCGTCCAACTTCAATTCAGGTCATGATCTCGCAGGTCATGGGTTCGAGCCCTGCATCAGGCTCTGTGCTGACAGCTCAGAGCCTGGAGCCTGCTTCGGATTCTGTGTCTCCCTCTCTCTCTGCCCCTAACCCACTCGCATTCTCTGTCTCTCTCAAAAATAAACATTAAAGGGGCGCCTGGGTGGCGCAGTCGGTTAAGCGTCCAACTTCAGCCAGGTCACGATCAGGTCCCTGAGTTCGAGCCCCGCGTCGGGCTCTGTGCTGACAGCTCAGAGCCTGGAGCCTGCTTCGGATTCTGTGTCTCCCTCTCTCTCTGCCCCTCTCCTGCTCGTGCTCTGTCTCCGTCTCTCTCATAAATAAATAAACATTTAAAAAAATTTTTAATAATGAAATAACTGGAACTTCTGGGGAAATGTGGGGACCCTGGCCCTGAGATCTAGCTCAGAGATGAGGAGATATTCCCCTCAAAGTCTTCGTCCTCAACCCCAAAATCCAGGGGTGGGAGTGCATTCCTTTCCTGGAATGGGAAATGAGATGGAATTCTCATCCTGGCTGGATGAGAATGTTCTAGAAGAAGTCTAATGAGCACAGGATATCGCAAAAGCTGCCCAGGAAATAGGAACAAATGTAAGGAGAGGGAATGAGGTCACAGGGTGGGGAGAGGAAGGCCAATCAGTAGGGCTGTCACTGGACCTGTCATCTCCAGACACAATCAGTGCGTACAACCCCGTGCCAACCCCCAACATATATCTGAAAATATCGGCGGACAGATTTTCATATACACATACAGCCTCACCCAAGACTTGATTCTCTCAAATGCTTATTAATGTCTCTTAATTCATTCCACAAATTTTTTTTTTATTTTTTTTCAACGTTTTTATTTATTTTTGGGACAGAGAGAGACAGAGCATGAATGGGGGAGGGGCAGAGAGAGAGGGAGACACAGAATCTGAAACAGGCTCCGGGCTCTGAGCCATCAGCCCAGAGCCTGACGCGGGGCTCGAACTCACAGACCGCGAGATCGTGACCTGGCTGAAGTCGGACGCTTAACCGACTGCGCCACCCAGGCGCCCCCACAAATTTTTATCAAACACCCACTAAGTGCCTGGCACTATATTAGGTGCAAGGAATACAGACAAAGCACCACCACTATCACAAACCACAACAGCTACCCCATGCGCGCACACACACACACACACACACACACACACACACGATGGGTCAGATACACAGCCATCTCCCAGCTCCAACACAGCTAACGCGAACATTCACCCCAAACACATCCAACACGCCCCCCATGATACACACACCTGTCCCTCCCACACACACGGACGCCAACACCTCTCTGCCACACACCCGCACAGCCCACATTCGGAAGCACACACCTTGTGTGACTCACTAGGAGCCTCTGGCCAATAAATCCCTTCAGGGAACGGACACAAGGGCTCTGACTGACCAGTGTGCCTCTGGCTGCATTTTTCATATGCTCGGGCCCAGTTCTGCCCATGAGACGGGCTACTGTAACCTCTCTCTAACTCAAATTCCCCTTCCATCAAGTTGAAGGGGTGGTTCATCCCATTTTCTCTTTATTTATGTATTTATTTATTTGGGAGAGAGAGGGAGGGCAGAGAGGGGCGGGGAGAGAGAATCTTCAGGAGGCTCCACGCTCAGCACGGAGCCCGAGGCTGGGCTCGATCCCAAAACTCTGGGATCATGACCCGAGCCGAGATGAAGACTCAGACACTCAACCGACGGAGCCACCCAGATGCCACCATCCTGTTTTTCTTAGAAAGGCTCGGAGGGGAAAGGTCATAGAGACCAGAGAATCAAATCCAAAGTCATGGAAAGAAAGATTCCTTACGGAGTTCCAGTGTCTCTGAGGTCTTGCATTAAAACACACGCACACGGGTATCTACGCCTGAGCACACGCCTTACGCGTGTGTACTATTCACTCTCCTAGGCACTGGACTCCTATCTGTAAACACTACTAGTCAAGCAGACCATCTGCACGGAATATACGCACTGCCAGACTCGCAGCCTCTGCGTGCTGGCAAACACACACAGACACACACGATCATAGTTTAGGGAGCACCGGAACTCCTGGGAGAAAAGGTGAGAAGGTGTCAGGTGACTTCATACACACAGTTCCTGAAGATACATCCCGCCGCTTGGTACAAATAACCCCACAAAAGCAATCCAAACGCTTTCCTCATGGATCCCTCTACCACAGCGACAGATACACAGTCAAAATACTGTGCATCCCAAACCCAGGGCCACACCTGCAGACTCAGCTCCTGGGGTGGCTGTCCACACGCCGGCAGCCAGGGGCACACCCACCCCCAGAGCAGTCCCAGAGCCGCACCAGTTTGTGGGCACACACATGCACCCGCACACGCTCCCCAAAAGACTCTACGGCTGGGCAGGGGTGGAGGGGCGGGGAGGGGATCAGACACACACAGCTGCTAGGTGGCCCACAGCTTCTAGGGGTCTGCGGCTGGGGAAAGCATGCCTGCGGCCACCGACCGGGGCCGAAAGACACGGCCACCCCCTCCCCCAAACTGATGGGGACCGTCTCCCCCACGCCCTCGCCAGCCAAAGTACCACAGATGCCTTCCAGTCCCCCTTTCCCCATCCTCCTGAACCACAGCCCGCAGAGTCCCTGGCCCCTCACATCACTCAGCTCCGCCTCTCGCAGCTGGGGCGCTGGTGAAAGCTCTCCCTCCCCAAAGCTCCCTTTCCAGTCACAACCTCGCCATCCCCACTCTCCCTCACCTGCCGCCGCAGCGCCGGCGTTCCCTTCTCCCCACTCCCAGGCCCTCATCCTCCGGTCCCGCCCCGGCCTCACCCGCCGCGCTCCCAGATCCTCACTCGCAAACACTCACAGGCTTCTGCCGGCAGCACCTGCCGAGAGCGCCAGGGCCCGCCGCGCCCCCGCCCACACAGGCCCCACCCACCGCCCTTCACGCCCCGCCCCGCCTCGGGCCGGCCTCTCACCCTCCGGGCCCTGCACCCCGCCTAGCCTCGCGGGCCACACGGGCCTAGTTCAGGACTCCGCCCCAGGCCCCAGACCTTAAGCCCCCCGCAGTCCCCGCGCACAAGACCCCGCCCACACAGATCAAGAGCACACACTCCCTCACCCACCCGCCCCACAGGCCCCCCCAAGGGCCGGACCCTCATCCTCTCGCCAGCCCCTTACAGGACCAGACCACACAGCCCTACCCACAGGTGGCCCCAGGGCCCGCACTGGCCACGCCCACACGGGGGTCACTGGCTAGCCACACGCTCCCTGTCCTTGGGACAGGTGTCCTCACCGCCGCTCACAAGGGCACGCCTCACGACCCTCGCGTGCAGGTACACACTCTCACACGCCCTCGCGCCCGCCGGCCGCAGGCGCCCCCCCCAGGCCGCACGACCCCAGGACACGCGCGCAGGCGGCCCCTCGCTCCCGGGCACCCCCCCACACACCCCCTCCCCCCGGCGCCCAGCAGCAGCCACCCCCCTGCTCACCTTCGCTGCAGAACTTGCCGCCAAAGCCCGTGTGGCTGCAGTCGCAGCCCACCTCGCCGGGGGCCAGCACCGTGCAGAGACCGCCATTGGCACAGGGGTTGCGCGCAGGCGCGCACAGTGGGTCCGCGGCGGCGCCGCGCAGGCCCTGGCTGCCCAGGAGCGCGGGAGGCCGCTCGCCCAGCTTCAGGTTGGCCAGAAGGCCGCGGAAGGGCGGCTCGTACTTGACGGTGCTGAGGGTGAGCGCCGAGAGGCGCACGTCGGGCGGGATGCCGCCCACGAACAGGTCGCTGGCCACCTGCATCTCACGCCGCTTGGAGCGCACCTCGGCGGCGCGGGCCTCGCCGTCCACCGCCAGCGCCGTGCGGCGCGCGTCGCGGGTCAGCAGCACCATGTGCCAGCGGTCGTCGGCCACCGGCGTGTCCAGCTGCAGCGTGGCCGGCTCGGCGCACGAGAGCGTGAAGCGCAGCCGCAGGCGCCCGTCCACCAGCAGCAGCTCCAGGAAGTCGCAGTCGCCACCGTCGTCCAGGTAGAGCAGCAGCGCGCGCGTGGCGTTGGTGCGCAGGCTGAAGCTGAGCTCGCCGCTGCTCGCCGCGCCGGCCCAGCGCGCGTAGCGAGCCCACTGCCCGGGGCCGCCGCCGAACTCCAGGCCGCCCGCGCCCGCCGCCAGCGTCAGCAGCAGCAAC